CTGTACCTCAACTGTCCAGTACTTGAAGTCCAGGGGCCTGGAGGACTCAAACTGTGACTAGGAGCTCCTCAAGTTTCTCCTTCCTTCAATTCATTATGCAACTGACATGTCTGCTATTCTCAGTAGAACCTAATGTTTCACCTGATTGATTATGGGAGGAGGGCAGGCTCAATGCATGGCTCACCAGTTCACATTGTGGACCTGGCTCATGGCTGCGGCAAGTTCAGGCTCAATGCATATTGTACAATGACTCTCCAGACCTCTGTATGATTGTTTGTTTGTGTGACTGTCCCGGGAATGCCTAATCAGTCTGAAATGTACCTCTGTAAGAAGAGCAGGTCTGTGTGAACACTTTGTGGGTCTGAATGGCCTTCTCAAGCCCGCTGCTATTCTCCCAGCTTAAGGACAGTCTCTCAGCATTGTAAAATATTCCATAACCATACTCTGGAGGAGACAGCCAAGAGAGCCGGCTCACTGTGCAGGTAACTAGTCCCCAAAGTTTGGGACATGCAGAAAGGTGTGAGTGATGGCTCTCCCAGCTGTTAAGGGGTCCTAGTCATTCTGTGACAGGCAGCTTAGATTGAATGCATGCTCCCTTCGCCTTGATTGGCCGCTTGAACCTACTGCCATTGGATGTCTAGGGGAAAGGCCTTCTTATTCATGTCCTAGGCACTGTGCTTTTCTTCATGAGGGGTCAGCAAGGACAAGGGTGTGCTCACTTTGTGGCCAAAAGTTCCTCATAGCATCCGTGCCTAGAAGATGCACTGAGGGCAGAAGAGCTGCATGCTTTCCGCTACTCACCAGACCTCTCTATGCCTCACTGTTCCATGGGGCAAGCATGTTTCCATGCCTACCAATCCTTAACCCATCCACCAGGTGGCGTGAAGGATCAGGCCCAGAGCACTGTGGGCTAGCCAATCCTCACAGGACTGCTGCATGGCAGACAGTGTGAGGACGTGTAGACTGCACTGTTAGGCAGTCCATAAGCAGTCCGCTCAAGGCATGCTAGGCAGGGCAGGTTCAGCATGGCTCTAATGATGCACTGAAGATCAGGCGAATGCTGCACAGTAGGAGTGAGGAATCTCTGTGTTATTGTAAGGACCTCAGTGGTGTGGCTGTGTCAAAATGGATGGAAAGCAGGCTCACTGCATGGCTCTCCACTGTATTTGGGTGTGCTACCTGCTATGTTTGGCAACTCGGGCTGACTGCAGGGCTAGGCCCTGCTCTGTTCCCCACAGGTTGTAGGCTTAAGTGATGACAGGCAGATTTACTCATGAAGCATTCCTTGTCAGATGGTAAGCATCAGGCTGGGGTGAGTGTGAGCACACTGCGGGACACAGGGAACCTAAACAGCCTGCTGGAGTCAAGCCTGGATGATCTTCTGCTCATCATTCAGCTGGTTGATGGAGCCTGTTGTGCTTCATGCAGAATGACAGGAGTGAGGGCCCTCTGGCTGGGCAATCCATGCTAGGCCTTTGGCGGGAGGCAGCTAGTGGGAATGGAGCCTGAGTGCTTGGCCATCCATTGTTCCATTGGAGCCTTGTGCATGCTGCGACACTGGTGGTATCAATGCATGGCCATCACCTACTCAGTTTTCAATAGGGATTTCTCTTAAGGGAGGTTTTCTCACAGATTCCATAACCCTTCCTTTTCAGGTGGCTGTATGCATGCTGTGGAGAGCAAGAGCACTCTGCAAGAGTAACTGCTCCTAAATACTTTCCTAGACATAGCCTGGGATGAGAGTGAACTCACTTCATGCAAGTCTGCAGCTCCAGGTTGCACTGCAAGGAGGACAAAGCCAGGTCATTCTCACCATGCATCTAACAGTTGTGAAAGTTTTCAATGCATGACCACAGTATGAGTGCAGGTCTCTTAGATGCAAATGGTTCCTAACCTGTGGAGTGCTTGAAGTCCAGGGGACTGGCCGGCTCATGATGTGGTTAGGCGCTCCTCAAGTTTCTTCAGCCATCAATGTGTTATGATTCTAAGGTGTCTGCAATGCTAGGTCGATCCCAAGGCTTCACATTTTTGATTCTGGGAGGAGGGCAGGCTCAAGACAAGGCTCACTGATTCACGGTGTGGACCTGGCTCATGGCTTTGGGCAGGTTGAGGCTCACTCCACATTGAACAATGACTCTCCAGACCTCTGTATGATAGTTTCTTGGTGTGCATGTTCCCTGAATGCCTAACTATTCCAAAACATTCCACTGTATGAAACTCAGGTATGCGTGAGCTCGTGGAGTGTCTGACTGGCCTTCCAAAGCCTACTGCTTTCCTGCCGTCTTGAGGATAGTCTCACTTCATGGCAAAATATTCCTTAAGCATATCCCTGGAGGAGACAGCCACTGAGGGCTGGCTCCCTATGCAGCTGACTGGTCTGCAAAGTTTGGCACATGTAGAAACGTATGAGTGATGGCTCTCCCACCTGTTAAGGGATCGTAGTCATTCTGTAGGAGGGAGCAAAGATTGAATGCATGCTCACTGTGCGTTGATTGGCCCCATGAACCATCTGCCATTGGATGTCTAGGGGAAGGGCCTTCTTTTTCAGGTCCTAGGCCCTGTGCTTTTTTTCAAGCAGAGACAAGGATATGTGCACTGTGTGGCCAAAAGGTCCTCATGGGAGCCCTGCAATGAGGGCAGAATTGCTGCATGCTTTCCTCTACTCAGCACACCTCTCTCTGACTGATTCTTCCATGAGGCAAGTATGTTTCCTAGCCTCCCAATCCTTAAAGCATCCAACACGTGGCGCACAGCATGACAGCTAGGACACTGTGGGCTGGCCAGCCCTCAGAGCACTGCTGCATAGCAGCCAGTGTGAGGACAAGTGGATTACATTGCTAAGCAGTCCATAAGCAGTCCAGTGGGGTCAAGCTATGAGGAGGGCATGCCAAAGGCATGGCTGACCCATTCACAGCATGGCCCTGGTTCATGGCTGTGGGCAGCCTCAGGCTCACTGCATGTTGTACAATGACTCTCCAACCTCTGTATGATTGTTTGTTGCTGTGTGTGTTCTCCGAATGCTTAAACAGTCTTGCCTGAGTCAAAACAGTGGGAAGACAGGCACATTCTATGGCTCTCCACTGTATTGGGGTGTGCTATCTGCTATATTTGGCAAGTCAGGCTGACTGCATGGCTAGGCCCTGTTCCTTTCTCCACAGGTTGCAGCCTGAAGTGACAGAAGCCTGACTGACTCATGAAGCATTCCTTGTCAGATGGTTGGCATCAGGCTGGGGTTAGTGTGAGCACACTGCAGGCCGTAGGGAACCTAGAGGGGCTGCTAAAGGAAAGCCTGGATGATCTTGTGCTCATCATTCCACTGTATGGACGGAGCCGGTTGTGCTTCATGCACAATGATAGGAGTGAGGGCCCTTTGGGTGGCCAATGAATGGTATGCTTTTGAGGGAGGCAGC